CTTGGGCCTGCGGCGCCTCTTGTGGCGCCCGCCAGGAGGCGCGGGCGGAAAGCCTGATTCGTGGTGCAGGTGACCTCCGCAGGTGGTGGCCAGGCCGCGCGAGGCAGCCCCTGGTCCTCTCCTCTTGGCAGATGGTCGAGCGGCCCGGCTCTGCGCTTTAATACTGTTTGAACTTGTCCCCTTTGAGCCATTCTCCCCTCCCCCGGTATTCCACGACTCTGCCCGGTTAAAAGTGGTGGCCTGTCTGAGGGTGCACAGGTGTTGGTTCCTGGGGACCCCTAGGTAGTGGTGGGTGCCCAGGACAGGCTGGGGACGCGGGAGGAAATGAGGACCTGGCCTCTGCTCGCCCCACTAACTGGAGTGGAGGTCAGAGGCCAGGAGGGATGTGGGGGCGGCACAGCCACAGTGTGATGCCGGCAGACCCTGTTTGCGTGTGGCCCCGGGGAAGCGCATGGGCATTTTTAACTTTATTTGTTTGAGAAAAGTGTTCATGGGGCAAAATAAGACAGAGTGCTCCTTGTTCCGGAGGCCAGCCAAAGGCCAACGGGCATTTTCTGACCCTGCCTCGCCACAGAGAACAAAGAAGGGCCTGAGGCTTTACCCGGTCTGCCAGGGGCAGGCCCTGTGGTCACGCGGTGGCCTGTGGACGGGGCTTAGCCTACCTGAGCACCCCTTCCCTCACCCCCCACCCAGAGCCACGGGGTTCAGCACATATGGCCTGAGCTGTTGACCCAGCTTTGGGGTGGCACCTGCAGCTGCTGAAAGGTCCAGGCTCATCCCTCCATTTAGGACCTCTGTTTTTTACAGGAGTGGCTTTTCTAATTAGTAAAAGCATTGACACCCAGTTACATGTGGGGGACAGGACCTCACCTGTCCTGGGAGGGTCCTGGAGGCTGCTCTGGCCTCAGAGAGGTGGGGTCACAGTGAGCAGGAAAGCACAGCTGGATTTGGAGAGAGAGTCCAGCCCTCTCCTCCGGGCTGTTTTTCCTAACTCTTCTGACCCTGTGGCCAGCCAGCTGAGTCTCTGAGGGAGCCCAGGTCTCAAGAGTCCTGCAGCCTGTGACCTGGAGTGCTGCTGCTGACTTCTGTCTAAGGCCCCTGTGGATGTCACTGCCTCCCCACCCAGCCAGATGCCACCTGGCTGCAGGACAGTGTCTGAGCGGTCAGGGAAGGTGGCCAACAAGGTGTCCATCCTTCAAGACAGACAGTGACAGTGCCCAGCCTCAGGGAAGATGACCATGGATTTTCTCTGAGGGCTGCTCACCAGGGCCTCCTGGGTAACCCCTTAAAAACTTATTTTGAGGCTCCTTGATCTGTCCCCACAGACCCACATCCTGTCTTCATCCTCCTGGCCACTCCTCACCTGGACAAGGGCTGGTGCCCACATGGCCACTCTGGCCGGGGCCCCACCTCTCTGTCCTGCCCAGCTCACACAGTAGGAAGATGCACTCATGTTGCTGAGCCTATGATCTCTGCTGTCCCCTGTCCCCATCTTGTGCACAGGGCTGGCCCTTGAAGAAGGCTGGGGTGGGGTGGTGAGCAGTGATTATCACTGTTTTAAACCAGAGTGGGAACAGATTCCAGGCTGGATGCAGAGTCCCTGGCCAGGTCCCTGAGGAGCCTCCACCACCCTGTCTGTCTCAGTGTCCCCAGGTGGCACTGAGCCCATAGGTTGTTGCAGGGGCCTCATCAGAGGGACGTGGGGCCTCTGGGCAGCATCTGCTCCGCTCCTGGTCTCTGCCGGCCTGGGCCTAGGCAGCAGGGCTGGCTGTGTGCAGAAGTGACCTGTCCCTGCCGCAGGTGCATCTGCAGACGCAGCAGGAGGTGAAGCTGCGCATGACCGGCATGGCGCTGCAGGTGGTGCGCACCGACGGCATCCTGGCGCTCTACAATGGCCTGAGCGCCTCGCTGTGCAGACAGGTGTGCCCCCCTCCCACGGAGCTCTCCCCTTTCCCGTCTTCAGACGGGCCATCCCAGATCCATGCTCTGGATGCAGCCCCTGGCACCCCAAGGAGTGCAGCTTCCTCCTCCTTCTGCCTCTGGGCCCCATAGCCCCAGTCTAGGTGTGGGGCAGGGTCCTGCCTTCCAGGATGCTGGCTCTTTTCTTACGGCTGGGCCCAAGACCTCCACTTACAGATGGGGAAACTGTGGTGGGGGAGGTGGGAGAAAGCGGACCATGCAGCCCTGAGTTTGAAAGTTGGCCCAGCCACATGCTGGCCTAGTGGCCTGGGGTGGTCCCTTGGTGTGCCCTGTTCACAGGGTGATTGGTGACGGTACCAAGGCTGGGGTGAGGCGTACCCATCCCTAAGTCGGGTCCCTTCTCCCCAGATGACCTATTCCCTGACACGGTTCGCCATCTACGAGACTGTACGGGACCGCCTGACCAAGGGCAGCCAGGGGCCTGTCCCCTTCTACAGCAAGGTGCTGCTAGGAGGCATCAGCGGTAAGCACTGGGCCGGGTGGGACTGGCGAGGGCCAGAGCACCGGGAATCACTTGTGCCTGCATATTTGTCACCACAGGTCTAACCGGAGGCTTTGTGGGGACCCCTGCAGACTTGGTCAATGTCAGGTTTGTGTAGAGCCCTGGCCCCAAGGTCAGGGGCTTTCTCGGTTTGCAGACAGGGCAGGGATGAGCAGGGCCGGTGGCTCGTCTAACAGGTAACCTGTTGAGCTCACCCGCTGCCCTCAGGCCCCTGAATAGCGTGTCCAGTGGCCGCCCTTCTGTTTCAGGATGCAGAATGACATGAAGCTGTCTGTGAATCAGCGACGCAAGTGAGCGGAGCAGTGGGCTGCCCTGGGGTGGGCAGGAGAGGCCCCGGGTGGCTGATGTGAGGGGGACCGCAACAGACCGTGATGTCCTTGGGCTCGTGTGGAATGCGGGTGGGGAGGCTGGTGGTCTGCAGGAACAAATGCCGTAAGTGGCTGCCCCGGGGTCATTGGGGTGTCGTCCTTGGTCCCCCAGGACGGGCTGAGGGCTGGGAACCAGCGGCACCTAGGGACAGTCCTGGGCCTGTTTCTGGTGTCAGGGGCCCTCAGAGGCTGAGTGGGCACGAGACATACATGCCCACTCCAAGACAGCCCCTCCCTGCCCGCTGCCAGGGATGCCCAGTGTTCTTTGACCCTAAGCTGACAGACCCTCCCCTGGGGCAGTCTCTGGTTTCCTCCCCAGACCCTCCTTCCCAGAGGGCAGTGCCTCACCCAGCATGGGGCTCTGAGGGGCCTGGGGGTGGCCTAGGCTTCACCTGCAGATAGGACCAGCCAGAGCTGCAGCCCCCTAGAGGGCCTGGATCCCATGTACATCCCCAGGGACGGGTCTGCTGGCCCCTGAGCCCTCTGTCCCTATGATGCCTCTGCAGAAGCTCATGGCCGGTGACAGGGGTGGACCCTGGGGCTGTGGCCAGGGTAAAGCTCATGTACCCATTCTGTGTCCCTGGCAGCTATGCCCATGCTCTGGACGGCCTGTACCGCGTGGCCCGTGAAGGTGAGAGGAGCAGGCACTTTGTGGGAACCCCCTTCCCTACAGGAGTCTAGGCTGGGTGCCGACTTCCCCCTTCTTCTTGCAGAGGGTCTGAGGAGGTTATTCTCTGGTGCGACCATGGCATCCAGCCGCGGGGCCCTTGTCACTGTGGGCCAGGTAGGGTTCCTCACAGGTCAGGCCTCAGAGCTGGGCAGTGGGTGTGGGAGCCACCTGCTGTCCCTTGGAGAGGCACAGGTGGGTCAGGGCCACGGCCTGGGTCTGACCTTGGCCGGCCAGTCCTTAGCCTGGCCTCCAGACTTGCCCGCATGCAGGTGTGGCAGTGATGGAGTCCAGATGCTTGGTCACTGTGGGGTGGTGTCATGGCCTCTGCCTGCTTCCCTGGAGCTGTCCCTGTCCACCTACAGCTGTCCTGCTATGACCAGGCCAAGCAGCTGGTCCTCAGCACTGGGTACCTGTCCGACAACATCCTCACTCACTTTGTGTCCAGCTTCATTGCGGTGAGTGCCCTGCTGTGAGGGCTGAGAGCACCCGGGTGAGTGTAGGTATGAGGCAGTGGGAGGCTGGCAGGAGGCTGTGCGATCTCTTGGGGACCACAGCAGGAGACAGCGTGTCCTCCCAGGCCTAGGCAGGTCTGGTGTCCCTTATCCCCACTGCCCCTGGCCCGCAGCCTCGGAACACCTCGGAGCTGAAGGGATGGGGGGCAGGGAAGGGCCACAGGCCCACTGTGACCAGGTGCCTCCTCAGGGCGGGTGTGCCACGTTCCTGTGCCAGCCTCTGGACGTGCTGAAGACCCGCCTCATGAACTCCAAGGGCGAGTACCAGGTGAGGCTGTGCTGACATCTGGCTGCCCACTGCCGGGTCCTTGCCCTGAGCCCTCGTACCCTTGGGGCAATCCCCATGGGGTGTGGGGACACCGGGATGGAGCTTTCCCTCTGCACTCTTCCCTTCTGGTTGCATTCCTCCAGGGAGCCCTCTAGAGCTGGAGAGGATTTTGCCTTTCCAAGGCCCATGTCTTCCTTTAAGCCCCATTTCCTGCTGGGCGTGGTGGTGCATGCCTGTAATCCCAGCACTTGGGAGGCTGAAGCAGGAGGATCACAAATGTGAGGCCAGCCTGGGCTACATAGTGAGTTGAAGGCCAGCCTGAACTACATGGCGAGACCCTGTCTCAAAAAGCCAAAAATAAACAAACTGGATCTCCCTTGCACATTGATGGAGTGCTCAATGGGAACCACCTGGGCAGAGGAATGCAGCCCTTGAACTGGGTGTCTGGCCGTAGCTCCCCCATTTCTGTGGTGTCCTCTATCCCCGCAGTACCTGTGACCATCCCTTGCTCTGCTCCCTGACTCTCCCTGGTTACTGACTGTCATAGTTCTGTTCAGCCTCCCAGCCCCTGGGTGCACCGTCAAGGCCCTGGTTGGCTGTCTGCAAGTGGGGTGCCTGCAAGTAAGATAGCCTGAGCGCTTTGGTACTGTTTTTTTGTACTGGGGATTGAACTCAGGTCCCTGTGCTTGAGAGCAGGTGGCAGCACCACTGAGCTAAATCCCCAGCCCATTTGGCCTCCTGTTGATGTCCTTGAGGACCTCAGGAGCCCTCGGGGCCACCGCCTCCAGCTGGTACCAAAGGGGGTGCATCTGTCCCCCTGAGCAAGAAGCCACTTCCTATATCTCTTCCCTCTGTCTCCTTTAGGGGGTTTTTCACTGCGCGGTGGAGACAGCCAAGCTGGGACCACTGGCCTTTTACAAGGTATGGTGGGCAGCAGGGGGCTGGGGCTGGGGTGGTGGGCAGTGCCCTCCTGGGCCCTTCACTTCTCCCTCTCTGGTTCCTTGCCCAGGGCCTCTTTCCCGCTGGCATTCGTCTAATCCCACACACTGTGCTCACCTTCGTGTTCCTGGAGCAGCTGCGGAAACACTTTGGCATCAGGGTGCCCACCTGAGGCCACCAGCTCTGGGCTGAAGATGAGCGGGGTGTGGCCTCCCCTCCCCAGGCCCCTTCCTGCCCCAAGTGCTCCCCTTCTTGCTCCTCCCTAGCACCAGTCTCAGGAAGAGGGCAGGAGCGTCCCTTGGGCTGGCTCCCCACCCTCCCGCCTCCACTCCTCCCCAGCAGGTGGTGGCCCAGCTGGGAGTGGCCGGCTGACATGTGTCCGGCTCTGGCTGAGGTTTGCTCCTTTCATGAGCCAGTGCTGCAGATGAAAGCACCGTCTACCAGCAACCTCCACCGAGGGCCTGGCTGGCGGGCACTGTGGGGTGTGTACCTTGCAGCTGCCTGCCACACTCGTGAGCACATGCACTTTACTCTCACGAGAGGGACCACAGCTTTAGCATCCTCAGAGGTAGCGCCTCCCTGGCCTGCTCCTGGGAGGGGGGACGGGTGACAGATCACCAGCCAGGGCCAGGGCGGCAGGTCCCCTCACACCCCTCTCTAGGTACAGCTCCAGATGCTTTAATGATTTGCTTTGCCAGACAAAACCTCAGTGCCCACAGCTTGCTGCTGTCCACCTGCCTAATGCCCTCCCATCCTTGTCCCTGGGAATACAGCCACAGGCAGTGGCAGGCCGTGGTGTGTCCTGCTGGGCTCCCCTTCAGGTGTGGCCTGTGGTCACCCCACAAGAGCCCCTAGCAGCCAAAAACTGCTGCCACAGCAGCCAGTTTGTGTGCTCGGGCACCATGCCCTCCATCAGGCCCTAGGGCTGCTGCCCTTCAGCTCTGCATGGGTCCAATAAAGGATAGTGACCTGGGTGACCCTCTCCAAGTCTGTCCCTCCATACCACCAGCCACCTCATGGTGCAGTGGCAGTGGGGCCTCTCTGCACCCCCAGAGAGGACAAGAGGAAGGAGGTGAGGACAGAGGGAGGGTAGGGGTGGGGTGAGGTGTGGAGAGGCCTGGGCCCATGGTGCCGCCCCTCCCAGCAAGGCCCTGGCACGCGGGGAGCCCAGGTCTGAATATCTGTAGGCAGGACAGGTTGGTCTCCCTGGAGCCAGCCCCCAGCTGTGGGGCGGTGGTGACCCTGGCTAGTGTCCAGCCAGCACTGCCTGGCCCAGGAGACCCTGGAACTGCAGAGCAAACAGGGTCAGAGGGCAGATGGAGCCAGGCCCTGCAGAGGCCTGTGTGAAGTGCAGTGCCGTCAGTGTGAGCCAAGCAGGGTGTTGGGGAGCCAATAGCACCGCTCTACGAGTTTATGGGGCCACTGTGTGAATAAGGCTCTTGGGGGCAGCCTGTCCCAACTTCTGCAACAGCCCCGAGTCTCAGCCCTCTCTAGGAATTTGAAGCAGCTCTCAGTCCTGTTATTTACATATAAATATCTAAATGCACTGCTTGAGCTGTACAGCCTGCAATCACAGCACTGTGGGAGCTGACTCAGGAGGATGGAAAATTCAAGCCGGGCCTCCGGCTTCAGTCCGCAGTGCAGATCCCCAGCTCTGAACAAACGGGTCTGGGTGTGACTCAGTAGAGCTCTTGCCCAGCATGCCCGAGGCTCTGGGTTCCTTCCACAGCACCACCAAAACATTGATATAAACATACACACACCTTAAACCAAAATCACCATAACTGCAGTAGTAATTGTTTACAGGTAAAAACGTAATGGTGCATCTTTCACCTCCAGTGTCCATCTGGTGGTCAGCTTTCCCCAAGGGCACTGCTGTGAGTTGGTCTTCCATCTAGAGGCCAGCAAGGGCCGCCCCTTCTCCACCCTGCATTTCCAGTCGATCTGCCCAGGCCCACTTGGCAGCTAACCCAGCTGCCCTGCTCAGGGTGGGCGCAGGGGGCAGGCAGGATGGATGGAGGTGGGAAGCACAGGGTGAGGGGGTGGGTCGGAAACCCCACTCTAGGGCCATGAGGTTGCTGAAGAGCTGCTTCCTGTGATCCCAGGCTCAGCTTGTTGGTTGGAAGCACTGGGCAGAATCTCCACACCAGGGCACTTCCCCCAGCCTCCTCCCTGGAGGCAGAGCACCCAGTCTGGTTTGGCAAGGTGGTTTGGCCCAGGGTGGAGTGGGAGGGACCCCAGCTTTCCAGGCCACAGGGGAGGGCTTGGGCCCAACTCTCCTCCCAGCCTTACAGAGCAGCGGAGGCCGAGGCCCAGCTGGGCCAGGACAGAGGCCAGCCACAGAGGGGGTGGTGGCTTTTCCCAGTCACGCTCAGGTCCTAATAAGTTTGTAGCTCTTGCAAATTTACAGAGTAATCATTTACTGTCAGGAAATGGGAGCAGAGGTGCTGAGACAGTCCCAAGGAGAAAGAACAGGCCAAGGCCCCAGGACTGCCACCAGGCTGCACACAGGGCCCAGGGCTGACCCTGGAAGGGACAGGCAGAAACAACATGTGATACCGCAGGGCTGCCACATCGGGCGAGGCTGTGGCCATTGCCATTTGTTTTGGGGAGAGGCTTCACAGTGGGCATCGGAGGAGGGAAGCCAGGTGAGCCTGTCCCCTTTGGGAGGCTGGGAGCAGGGCTTCCTGTGGCTTCCAGTGTGGTTGGATTAGGGACAAAAGGCAAGCTAGCAGGTACTAGCAACGAGTGGTCCGAGCTGACTGCTCCAGGGCTGCGACCTGTCCGGCTGGACTGGTTGGTGCAGACCATGGGCCAGAGTTCTCCTCAGTGTGAAGGGTTTTCCTAGAGCAAATCCAGGCCGTGATCCCTCCACCTTTCCCAAGGAAGCAGCCAGTGTCCAGATTCCTGGGAATTTTCCAAGGGAGGAGGGGAGGGACAGCTGCAGGGTTGCCTTCCTCCTCCTATGCCCCTCTGTCCCCCTCCTATCACCTGGGCCCGTGGGGGGGACCAGCACCCTCCAGTGCCTTCCCAGCTCTGCCCTGCACCCCAATCAGCCTCACAGAGAATCCGGGCTTCACCGGCTGCCCCACACTTCCTGTTCTGCCTTTAGCCTTTGCTCCAGTGTCCTAGCTCCACCAGATGGCTCTTTCCTGCTGAGTCACCTCTGGATTCCCAGGCAGGTGGTTTGAGGTCCCTAACCCTAGGGCCACCTCTGCGTCTGTGTTGGGCCAAGAAGTTCTCTGGCCCCTGGAGGAAGGGAGCTGGAAGCCACTGAGGACGACATGGGGCCACCTTGGCCCTAACCTCTCTCAGGGAGGCCTGGTACCCACTCCCTGATGGTGGCCAGACCATGCCTCTGGGCTGGGGACCCTGCGCCTATAGGTGTAGTGCAGGTAGGGCACCGCCCGTCCTCATTCCAGTCTGGACAGCACCCGAGGCGGCCCCCTTCCATGGTCCTAAGAGAACTGGGGTATCGGAACAAAAACCCAGGAGGCCACTCGGTGAGAGCACAGGCGCTGGATCTCCTGGTCCAACCTTTGCCCTTTGCCCTACTCAGACCTTATTAGGGATTCATGTGCAGTCTTCCTGGTGTGTGTGGTTGAAATCAGCATGGATTCTGGGACAGGCATGGGTGTCAGCACCCTTTCAATCAGCTCTGCTGTCTCACCTGCAGACCCAGTGAGGCAGCCGGGCTGGACACATGCTTTACGCTCCAGAAGCCAATTCACCTGTGCACAGGGCAGGCTGTGTGCCCTTCCCCACTGGGTGCACAGGAGCCTGGCATCCGTCTCTGCTGTAGCACGGGGACACTGCCCTTGGCCAACAAGCACTATGAAGTCGCTCTGGGCTTGAATTTCAGGGACTTCGGACCCATCATCAGGGAGGGGTTTTTGGAACTTTTTTTTTTTTTTAAACAAGGTCCAGCCTTTGATCTGTGGTGTCCTTTGTGGTCCCGAGACAGATGGGGACACATCCTCAGTTTCCTGGCCTCCATGGAAAATGTGCCTGCTCGCTCTAACCCAGTTCTGTGAGCAGAGCAGGTGAGGGGGCTGGTGACTGCAGCTTTAGTCTAAGTGGCACCACTGTGATGCTTTACCTGGTTCTGTGATTGTTATTTAACTGGGAAAGTTCCCTGGAGGGGCACTGAGCCTTTCCTAAGTAAGGCAGATTGTGGGCCTGAGGCAGAGTAGAAGAAATTAAAAGAAAGGTAGAAAAGAGACAAGGAAATCATAGCTAAAAATTGTACTTTTAAGAAGTCTGCAAGTGCTGGGCATAGCGGCACACACCTGTAATCCTGCACTCAGGAGAGGAGGCTGAGTCAGGAGGATCACTGCAGGAGACGTCCCTGCCCAGTACTAGCATGTCGCGAGCCGGCGACGCAGAGCACTGTCCAGCAGTGTCTCAAACCTGAAAGAGCAGCGGGGTGGAGATGGGGCAGAGAGTGAAATGTGATGGACTGATCGTTATGGAAAAAGGCAGCAATGCCATTAGAAGATCCATCAGTGTAAAACTGCTAACATAGCACAGAGTTCCACCAATTGTGCAGAAGCATAGTTTGAAATGTGATGGAGTGAACATTATGGGAAAAGGCAGCCATACCATTAGAAGATCCATCAGTGAAAATTCAAAAAGCATCCTTTAAACGTTGCAAACTGGTAACCTTTGGGAATATAAATGTCTGATTTTTAGCAAAATGAATAAGCTTATCACCAGGGTAATGATTGTCAGTATCTCCTGAATACTGAATAAAAGCTAAAGGCCAAAAGTCTGTGGTCTGTAAGAGCCAATTGCATTGTTCTTTATCATAAGGAATTATTATTTTATGAGGTTCAAATCCAAAGGTACGTTTTGAAAATTTTCTAGCCTGCACACAAAGTTTAGCAACTGCCTCATAGTAAGGCAATACACTCTTGCCTGAGTTAGTAGATAAATGGAAGCAATAAATGGGTGTGTTTTGCCATAACACACCTGTTGGTGTTCCTTGGGGAGGACAAACCACAAAGAACAAAGGCTTAGAATAATCAATGTAGGAAATTTGTTGTTTTTCTATTGCCAATTGAACTGTCTGTAGGGCTTTCTTTGCTTCTATAGTGAGCTCTCGAGGGGAATTTGGAGAAGGCTCTCATTAAAATATCAAACAATGGTTTTAATTCATGAGTAGATAATTTTAAATAAGGACGTAGCCAATTAATATCTCCTAATAATTTTTGAAAATCATTAAGTGTTTTTAAATGATTGGCATTTAGAACTAACCTTATTATGGGCTATATAACTATTATTTAATTGAAATCCTAAATAAGAATAGGGAAAATTCAATTGCACCTTATCGGGGGCTGTATTAAGGTTAGCGGCTTTAAGACTCAGCACAAGATCAGTATAAGAATATAATTCATCCTCATTTAAACACGCTAACAATAGATCATCCATATAATGTAGGATTTGAACTTCGGGCCAATTTTTTTGAACCTCAGAAAGGGCTTTAGCTACGAAATATTGACGTAAGGTAGGGCTATTGGTCATTCGCTGAGGTAATACTTTCCATTGATATCTTTTCATGGGCTGAGCCTGATTGATTTCTGGGAGACTAAAAGCAAAATACTGTTTATCCTCATGTGTCGCGAACCAGCGACGCAGAGTACTGTCCCGCAGTGCCTCAAACCTGAAAGAGCAGCGGGGCAGAGAGAAAGGAAGGACGCCAAGAGTCTGATCAAGGCGACGTTTATTGCAGGCAGGCATCAGCTTTTTAAAGGAAAAGACCGAACTATTATGGGCTAGGATTACCATAGTAACCTCAACACCCACTCCACGGGAACGAGGGTTCACACGGGCAAGAGAAAGCAGGCTCAAGAAAAACAAATTAACAACACTTTCAACTAATAATCATGATTCCCAAAATAGGTGGAGGAACTTAACAAAATGGAGTTACAACACCTGACTCCTA